CTTTTTTTTCAAAAATCTGTTTCTCAAAACGATTTGCCAGATTTGGACTCTTTGGTTCAGATTAAGAACCGCGACAACAAAAATCGCGAGTCCGAACTGTAGCAGCGGGGTCCCCCTCCGCGGGCTTGTTACAAGTGAGTGCGATGGTAATCAGAGAAGATAAAGGAGAACAAATGACCGTTTAAGAAACAACCATCCTGCGTTTTCTGTTTCTTTGGTTCCGGACCCTAAGGAATAGCAACTTCCTTTCCCTTATGCGTTCTTTTGCCCATATGCTTGGAGGTGCTTGCTAAATGAGCACTTTCAGTCCTTTCTTGCTTCAATCTCTCTTCCTCTTGCACACAAAATCAAATGAGCTCATTGAGAGTCTGTTTCTCCTTCTGGCAGTTATAATTGACCTTAAATTGGTTAAATTGTGCAGGAAGAGAGATGAGAACTAAATGCACGAGCAAATCATCAGATAGGTCAAGCTTTAGTGCCTTAAGTTTTGAAGCAAGATGAGACATTTCCATGATGTACTCGCGAACATTACCCTTGCCTTTATACTTTATTGACATCAAGCTTGCTAAAAGCGTGCTTGTTTCAGCCTTATCGTTTTTAGCAAAATACGTTTGAATTTCTGAAAGAAATTCACCGGCAACGGTAACATCCTCTGTTATTGCACCCCGAAAAACTTCTGGAATCCCACGCTTCATGATCATAAGACTTAGCCTGTTAGAACGATCCCACTTTTCAAAGTACACAGTTTCCTCAGGAGTACTTTGTGCAGTGAGAGCATTCGATTTTGGCATCCTTAATGCCAAGTCTATGTCCATGCAGCCGAGAACAATCAATATGTTCTCTTTCCAGTCCTTAAAGTTTGTTCCATTTAACATTGGAACATTGTTCATGTTGGCAGAGATTGAAATTTTGTGTCGGCACACCTAACGTCGAACCCTCCCACTCGGCCACCCTCACGGTCAGCTCCCCCGCTCGGCACCTTATGCGGCGGCAACGCCTAATGTCGACCCCTCTCGCTTGGCCCCCTAAGCGGTCAGCTCCCCCCGCTCGGCCACCCTTGCGGTCGGCACGCCTAACGTCGAACCCTCCCGCTCGGCACCTTGCGGTCGACACGTCTCGCGGTCGGCATGCCTAACGGTCGGCCCTCCACTCGGAAATAGGGACTACTGACATGATAGGCCCATAAGGCTTAAGCCCACAGCAAACAACCCTAAACCCATCGCTTGGGACCCATAGCATAACCCGGTTGGCAAAGCCCAGGACAGCTGGAGGCCATCTGGGCATGGAGGGCCAATGACACTTCGGGCCACAGCAGGTGAAACACAGGCCACATCAGCAGACAAAGATCTGCAGAGTTATTGCCACAACACATCACCATTAATGCAGACCCATCACAGCATTTATTACGACAACACCTCCCCGTCGGAACAGAGCCCCCTCACCTGAACAAGGTAAAGCTACGGCACAGGCTTTCGACGGAAGAGGGCACGTCGCAAAGGACAGTGAAATGATTACCAAAGATATAAACAAGAATCGAAGAGAAGATGAAGGTTAAGCTTTTCTATCTCTCTCTTATATATTCTTTCTTCCTCTACTGATTCGCTCGCCGGCAGGGTTCACTGGGGGAACTACCCGTTCCCCTTTGACTTGCTTGCAGGTCATCGGTGGAATCATCTGCCTGAATGGAACTTGGAGAGCTTGGACCAGCCCGACCCATTCACCTAAGACGAACTGTATCACAATACAAATTTTTGTTGGAGGTAGAGATTTTAAATTAACTGAGCTAATATAGAAACTAGTGAGTTGATTTAGAGCATCTCCAATTCGAACCAAAATTTTTATCAAATCTGAGTAAAAAATGACTTTTTCCTCAATCTGATACTGAGTGCTTCAATGGTTGATTTTCATCAAATCTGTGTCGAGATAACCGGTTGGTCGACCGGTTAAGCCAATTTTTTTTTTTTTTGATTTTTTTTTTTTGAACTGTTTAACCTTTTAGTGTCGACCGAGATAAGGCAAATTTTTTTTTTTTTCAACTGTTTGAACTTTTTTGGAATTGTTTGCAACCTTTGGTGGTCGATCGTTGGTCAACTGGCCGGTCAACCGGCTGGTCGACCGATTGTCTCCCCCAACGGTCATGCACAGTGTTTTGGTGAAATGCGGGCCTGTCCTCCTTTTGGTGAAATGTTTTGGTGAATTCTCGATTTGAATATCAATTTGGTAAAAACCGTTAGAGTTCCAAACAGTGTTTTTTTTTTACCAAATTTCAAATTTAAGTTAGATTTAGTGAAGGTTGGAGATGGTCTTTATAGATAGATCTAAGTTTATAATAAGTTTTTTTTATTAAATATTTTGATTTTCTAAATATGTATTACTATATTGTTTGTGATTGGAATTTGCCTGGAAAGGTTTTGATAGAGAGAGAGAGAAAGGAATGGATGGCATTGTGGGTGAGCGAGGCCAAGTTTGGCAACATCAAATAATTCATTTTTTATCTTTTTTATCTTTTTTCATCACATCACCTCTCTACTTTTTTGTACATCTTTTCGTAAAAGACAAAAAATACACTTATTTAAGTCATTTCAAACAACCCCTGAGTTTTGTGGGAAGTTAAAAGTGAAATTGATTTTGTTTTTTAACATAAAAGTGAAAATTGATTTGAAAAGCCCGTAGTGCGGGTGGGCAGAGTTCAAATCAAAACCCTCACATACGCTGCTGTCCTACTGCTCTGCTTAGTGCTTGTCATTTCCGGGGTCATATCTACTGAGTCTTTGGCGTTTGTGCCGGTGATGATGATGTGCCCGCTTTAGTGCTTGTGGGTCTTTATTTCCATTTTTGTTCAAACTTTTTTATCCCCCTTAACCATCTTTAATTTTGAACCAAACCTGTTATTAATTTAAAATTTAATAGAAAAATTATTTTTTCATATTCCCAATCGTTTCACCAAATCAGTATCAAAATTCATAATTTATCAAACAAATCATCAAAGTGAGTACAGCTCCGTATTTCACCAAAACACTGTACATGACCGTGGGAAACGAACCGGTCGACCATAAAAGGGTTCAAACAGTTCCAAAAAAAGTTCAAACAATTAAAAAAAAAAAAAAATTTCCCTACCGGTCAACCAGCCGGTCGACCACCGGTCAAACCCCCACAGTTTCAAACACGTCAAAAAAATTGGTTCAAACAGTTCAAAAAAAAATTCCTCCTATTGGTCGACCATCCGGTTGTCCCCTGGAGCAAATTTGATAAAAGTAAAGGGTTGGAGCCAGTGGTATCAAATTGATAAAAACATCTTTTTTTTCATCAGATTTGATGACAAAAGAAGTTCAGGGTTTGGAAATGCTCTTAGGAGACTGTTTAAAAGTTTCTTTTTTTAATTTATATTATTATTTATTTTTTTAAATATTTTTTTTTAAAAAAAAAAAATCAGCTTGTTTGGTTTTGTATTTTAGAAAATTTTACTTTTTATTTTTCATATTTTTTGTTTTCAATATTTTTTTTTAATATTTTTAGTAATTTTTAAAATTTTTAACACCACTTAACATAAATACATGTAAAAGTGTAATATTTGTGAATTTTTTTTTTAAAAAAATCATTAAGTAATAAAAACATAAAAAAATTAAAAATTTAGTACATTTTTTATATTTTTGTGTATTTATAATTTTATAAAATATTTTTTTACAAATATTTACTATTTAGATATATTTATGTAGGTTATATTTAAAAAAATTAAACAAATTATCTAAAATTTTAAAAATATTCATTAAAATAAAAAAATACGAAAAATAAAAAGTTAATTTCAAAAAATTAAAATATATGTTTTTTTGACTTTTGGATGACTTGACAATTATTTTGTTAAAATAGCCCGTGTCAAGCGGGTTCTAACTTCTAAGTATATTTTTAAAAATAATTTATTTATTTTTAAATAAATAAATATAATAAAAATTGTGACTATAATATTTATATCAGTCTTGCTTCTTTTGTATGATTTATACATATAACAATAAAATCAACTATTTAAACCACTCGAATACGATTTGTGATGTGCTCTGTGGGTTCAATTGCACGTTCAATCCACATGAATAGATTCCACATAAGCTTGTTTCATGTGAATATAATTAATTTTTTTAATAGGAAATATAAAAAATAAAAATAAAAAGTTTGCTTAACCTGTATCCCATAAATTATTATTTATTTTTTATATTATTTCACCCTTAAGTTATCAGTCATTTATTTATTTATTAAAATTTTTATGTCAACTTATGTGGTCCAATTAAAATAAACCATCTAAATTAATAACTTTTAAAGCTTAATTTTATGAACAAAAAGTCATTTTAAAATTTGAACAAAATACTTAATGATAGTAGGTAAAGGGAGAGGACTAGGACTGGTGAAATTCAAATCTAAGGATTCATACTTCCCAGTTAATGAGGATGAGATAAATTTCATTTTACTTTAATTTTTTATTTTCAATTAGAACTATTTAGTTCTCATACTTTCAATTTAAGTACAAAGAGAATGAGTTCATTATGCATGTTAACATTTTGAATGGGAAATATCACATGCGGAACTAAAAGGATGACCGTCTAGTCTGGCTCAATAGATCTACTTTTGGCGCCATCTTTCAATACTAAACCGTTCACATTTTAGTGTGTTCCGGATACATCAATCTCTGGCAAAAATCAAGTCAATCGGATAACGAAAATCATGTATTCGGATCAATTTTGTATGAATCATTTATTTTCTCACAGTCCATTTTTTTTTCATACAACTGATTCGAAACACATGGTGTTCTTTTATTTGATTGATTTGATTTTTAACAAAAATGACATACTCGACGAATCATAAAATATGAACGGTTCGAATCATCGAAACATGGCCCAAAAGTGGACCTAATGAACCCAATAGTACCTCTCAAGTCCGATTTAGGACTGAAGAGAAGCCAAGTCCAATCTTTATCTCCCATTAACTTAACAATGTTATGTCTCTACTACAAATCCAATTACTGTTTCATTCAATATTTACTCAAGTTAAACCCCTAATCTCTAGTACTTATGCCATCATCCACCAAGTAATTGTTATGTTAGATAATGTCTCAATGGGACCACATAATTAAATGTGGTGTTATCATTTATAAAAAGCCTACAATTTAAGTGATTCAATTTAGTTAATAGGCTTAAGGTATATGTGTTATGGACCTAATGTGTAGATACTAGTTGTATAATTTCTATTCTATGAGGGGCAGAAATAGAATTAAAACATATTGGTTAAAGTTGGTTTTCATTACCTTTCAGTTTTAAAACCAATAATGGTTAATTTATTGGTTTTCATTACCTTTTAGTTTTAAAACCAATAATGGTTAATTTATTGGTTTTCATTATCTTTCAGTTATGAAAACCAATTACAACCTTTAAAAGGTTATGGTCCCTATTCCTTCCTAAGGTGAAAAAAAATAAAACACTGTTTGTTTTCTAAATCCTCTCAAGGAGAAACATAAGGCACAAAAGGGAAAGGATTAGAAGGCTCTAACAAAGTCAATATCAAAGGTTTATTGACAATCAGACGCTTCCGTTTAACCGTTCATTGATGGTTCGGGTAAGTTTTAGTCTTGTTTTCTTGATGATATACATGGTAGATGATCCCAAACATGAAGTTTCATGTTCTGAAATTATGTTTACAAGTGGTATCAGAGCGGTTATATCATGTGTATTATCAGAATAGATATGTTTTATTCATCCTATTGTTTCTTGGAATCAGATTCTGTTTTTTGTATTTCTGTTTTCCTCTGCTGCAAATTCTGTTTTGTTTTCTGGAATGGGACATAATTCGATGGCGGTTCATTTTTCAAATGGTGAACATCATGTATTTATTATATATATATATGTAT